TTTCATTTCCATATTCATGTCGAACCAAACTAGCCTCGTTTTTACTTTTTGAGAGTAAAATCCTTATTTTAATTGAAGTAACAAGGTTCTTTCAAAATGTCAAAAATGTAGTGTGAGAAAACAATACTGATTTTTTGGACTCCTATACACAGCTACAAAACCTCTATCATACTTCGCTAGCGCCTCATCCAATATAATATTACCAGCTGTGTACTCGTCCAAATAAAGAGTTCAGTATTGTATTTAACAATGTAAAATAACCTCATGATATTAGTTTAACTGTAATCAGACACTGTCATTATTCAAGATCTGCCAGTTAATATTAATTTATTACTTATTTAAAGTTTACAACTATTCATTGTAAACCCGTGTAAAAAAGTGCCGACTTGTAATGCCAATATACAGCTTGTTATCAATGCGTTGATGCAATTATAAACGTCAAGTAAACATTTTCACCTTACTACGTTACTAACTTTTCGAAAATGCAAATATTAATTTAGCTGAACAACATTTTTAGAATTATTTTATTTAGTATACTGTAGCATCCGTATATCGGAAGACGTACATCCTTCAATATCGAGTTGTAACTCCTAGCACGGTTTTCATTTGATTGAAAAGAGGACGTCGTGATACTGGACAACGAGACCGCATTTTATAGGATAATCAGCTTTTAGTTGTAATTGATAACAAACATACTGGGGAATCTTAACAAAATTCTGGGCCATTATCATGAAAACAGAGGAGAAAAGATTGTATGTTAGAGGTGATTAATTAAAGATGGTTCGATGTGAATAACGTTTTACTAACATTATTTTAACAGCGTCTAAGTCGTTGAAAATGTGATATATTAATTTGCCTGGAATATTTATGATTATAAAAAGTCAATCTTGAATAAATGTGTTATGCAATTGTCTTACATGCTTTCAAAGTGACTTAAATGTGTCTTATTATGCTTCCACTTTTCACAGTATCTGTATGTGTATAAACATGCAAGCATTTTAAAGCAAACTATGTATACGCCATTCCCAGATGCTATAAGTAAATATATATGTCGTTTCAAATTTACATTTTTTGTGTTCAAAATAAACAAAGTTTGCCAAAACATTTTGAATATGTTGGCCTGTTGTATAGCACTTGAACATTTTCTCGTTGTTATATGTTGTTTTCTCTTATCAACGAACGAATAGTTTTATCAATACAATATTGATGTTGTAAGTGCCTGTGAACTGTTTTACGTAAACAAATATAATTCATTCCCAGTAAGTTGTTTATTTAATAAGATGTAAATGAACGAGCATCTCTGGTGGTGTTGTTAATTGATAGTATTTTTGTAATGAATAATGTTTTTGGCATTCTTTACTTTACTTGTAATGAATAATGTATTTGGCATTCTTTACTTTACTCAACCGAATAAATTTTAGATGGATCATTATGCAAACTAAAGTATATTTTATGGAAATACATATTGAAATTTGTTTATACTTCAGTTAATTGTAGGAGGCTCCGTTGTACTGTCAAACATTCTCATTGAGAGAAAAACGAAATCAACAAATAAGGAGAAGCATGCATTAACAAGTTATGGTAGGGTTAAAAATGGTGTTTATCATAATAACTGTGTCAAAACTGAAACATATGTATATCCATGGTAGAGCACTTAAATTTGTTTCGTTTCTATTTCAGAACATAGGTAATCGGTTATGAAAAATTTTGTTGTTTAAAATATTTTGGCCATGAAGATTTTCGAAAATCGGAAAACAATTTTATCTTATCTGAGTTGAGTTATTGCATACTTGCAAGTATTCTACTAGGTATCTTATTCTAATAAATATGGTTGTGTTAATATACTAAATTAAAAAGTTAACATGTTACAAACACATATTACAAGTCAATTAAGAAGATTGAAGAAGACTCTTTCAACATATTGTCCAATAGTAACCAATCAAATGTTTATATATACATGTATTTCATTATCATAATAACATCATTAGATAGATTGATTATTGAATGTTTAAATGCATTTATTAAGACCCATATTATATCATTGTATGACGTTTACCAATCTGCGGATTTCGCCATAAACGTTTAAATGTTGAATTCTGCTTAAGCCGATGCTAGGGGGCGTAAACAGTAGCTTGCACTGCCATTTAATTCCGCCGTTTTCGGGGTTCTTTATTCTGTTTATGTTGAATGAAATTTCCTGTATAGTCATTTCTTCTGATGCTTATCAATTTTCTAAAATTAATTTTAGTAAAAGATATGATAAACAAGATCAACAAGGAAAGGCGGCGTTCAATGAACGCAACCCCCACACGACCCAGCAACAAAAACCAGAGGCAAGGAGCACAGTAGAACCCCAAACAAAAACAGGACCGGGCAAAAGGCACAGTAAGACACAGTCTCCTTCTGACACTTAATCTTGATGAATGGATAATGATATAAAGCTGGTTCACAATAAAATGAATAAAACAAATCGTGTCCAGATCTTAAACTGCGAGTAAGATATCCACAACTACACTACCAAATGCAAGATTTTAATTTAATGATCCATTATTTTCAGGACTGTTACAAATAGCGGCTATACTCGAAACAACGAGTAATGTTTAAAATATTTGTTAATTAATTTTTTGTATCATTGCTATTTATTTTTATGTTGCTAGCAATTGTGAATCAATGGAATAATTAACGTATGCAATGCTGGTTATCTAAACATACTAATGACATTGGAGATAATTTTACAAATCAAAAATGTATTCTTGCGTGAGTGCTCGCAATATTTTCATTTGTTAATTAATGATGTTTCCATGAATACTCGAATCAGAATGATCATGCAACTATTAAACTGCACTTAACACTTTACTTTATTTATCTGAATAAACTACGACTATCAAATTTGAAACATACAATTTATAATGCTACTACTAAACCATTGCAATAATAATGTGAATGTTTAAAATCGTGGTTTCAATTCACAGTTACTTACCTAATGGTATATTTCAAATTCAGACATGGTCTCAACTATGTTTCTTATAAGCAAATATGTATATATTGCCTGTAGAAATACAAATTATTCGTTTAAGTATCTTCGTTTATCTGTGACAAACTTTAACTAATCACCTAAATGGCTATTGCCTTTTATGTATCTTATATACATGAACAGAACAGACATTTTATAGATAACACAAAATACAATATGATACTTAATCAAGTAAGAGAAAATACATTTGTTAACAAAGAGAATGATAAAATGTGTTATTAGATAATATATTCTAAAACATACATGTATTATATAACATTACCTCATGGTACAAGCTAAAGGGTGTGAAAATATGTTGCACATTTCACATTACGACTCGGCTATTCTTAATTGAATCTGTATTTTCTTTCTAGTTAATGTTATTATTTCTCTCACATTCATATACAGGTTCATTTGCTGTTTTAACAATATATCTTTCCGTTGTTTACCTGGGTACAAATACAAACATACAATCGTTTACAATTTCGCTACTGGTTGAGTTCTAAAGGATGAATAAACATGATCGTTAAAGAAAGGAAATTCTATAAGATTCTTAATCTTAAAGCACATACACTTTCATATCACATATTTAAACTAATACATTTATGACATCAGGTCCCTAAAAAATATACTTTTAGTAGATTTTATGTAGAAATTCTTAGAGTTAGAATGGTAAGCTAAAATGGACAAAAGGGTATTCTTTTGTCTCTACTGGTATCTAATCTAATGATTTTTTAAATTATGTTTTGTTGTTGACGCTGTTTTTTTTGTTTTCGTTTTTAGGAAAATAAAAGTTGTTGTCACTGAACTTGTTGACTTCAGACTTTTTCTCTGGTTGTTTTATCTCCTTTTATCAGCGTTTTTATCGACCATTTCTTAATAACTTGACAACAGAGGAAAAAATCTGATTTTACGTTTGACGAGTTAGTAATATCTAAAGTGCCTGTTAAGTAGGAAAAGTAAATAAAATTAATACGGAAAAAACATTTGTTCGATACACATAGAAGATGCTTTTATCATATTTCGAAATAATTAGTAAATGCGAATGCAAAAACATAACATTATAAATAAAAGATATTGTATATCATTATATCTCAACAAACACTGTCGCTGATTAAATTGCAATTATTGTAACAATCAATTCATTTAAATCAGCTATTGATTGTGAAACTGGCGATTGTAAAATTGTATGTCTAACAACAATAAGAGCGATCTAAACCAATATGGCACAGCACTTTCAACATGAATGCGTTCTCATTTCTACATCTATTTGCAGACATGAAACCGGTGACATATTTCAGTTTTGATTCTGGTCTGTATTTGTTGTGAACAAGAACAGCTGCATGTAGAACATCAAACAACAGAAATCCAAATTACGTACCACAATTAAATAAAAAATATAAGAAAAACTTTAATTTGTCAGCAGACATAACATAGTCAAATAAGGTTTGCCTTTGTTGATAATTCATATATATTATAATAGTACTATATTACCGTGAGGTGATTCATGATAACTTAGAAAGCCGATGCTATGGGATGAGGAAAGATGTTCCATGTTTAAATTTTAAGTAATAATATACTCGATTAAACAGGGGCTATTATTCCTCTTCGTTTATCATTTCTATAATATATTGAAGGTACTCTTTTAAATATTTTTATCATGTTTATACCTTTATACATTTATTCGCATTTCAATTTACTAATGATGTTTTTCACTTACTTTTCTCAGCAAAAATAGCTTGTAATGGGCTAGTAATTATGTCACTAAAGGAGAGTTTCATGTAAATAAGTACAATCCTAAAAAAGAGAATTAATTTTCCAGATTTTTAAATCACGTATTCACATTTTGAAATGTCATGTAAATATGATTGAAAGGGAAAGCAACAACACTAATACAAGGTATTGGGGAATGTGAGAGTTTCTGCGGGAGAGGATTACCAATGAGCAAATACAGTTAATGTCTGATTAGGTATTAAAGAGCAAAGCTCTGCGCTGAAGAAGATATTGGATATTTTACACGACAGTTGACGACAATAACTGTGCTTTTATATAATTTTACTCGTGCCCAAAGGAATTGCAATATCTAAGGATTTGAATTATAAGAATAGATCTAATTGGATGTATTAGAATTCAATATTTTAAATGATAACATTTGACGTTTATCATAAACACTTGTCGTGTGTATTCATTATAATAATATATCATTTTTATATTAAAATTGCCTCTCTGATCTATTTTGTTTTAAAATGGTGACTAGCCTTAATCAAACATTTACATGTGAAGGGAATGACTATGAGCCAACTTGGAAGGATATATTTAAAGCATGTGTTATTGGCTGCGTGTCGCTCGGCATCATTGTTGGAAACATTTTTTCTGTGATAGTGTTCAACAACTCAAACAGTAGAAAATTATTTCTAAAGAAAGTTCGACTTACTATGAACTCTTTAATTTGTACAGACCTGAGTATGGGCCTGTTCATGTGTCCGTTCTGTATATATTCTGCTCTCTACAAATGTTGGCCGTACTCGGAAACTTTCTGTAAAATAGAGGCATTGTTCTTGTCCGCTTTATTTCATGAGTCAACATTGTCACTTGTTTTAATAGCCCTGGACAGATACTTCTCTGTCCACCATTATTTAAAATATAACAGTTTCATGACGTCACGGAAATACGTCATTGTTATCTTAGCCACGTGGACAATGACGTTTGGTGTTTATTCGATTGTGATATTTTTCGGGGAACAGTTCTATTTTGATGACATTGGGATAAACTGTGAACCTTATTATGAAAACCCAAACGTGACACTGAGTGTAATAGTAATATTTTACTTTATTCCCGCCTTGTTATTCTTATATAGTTACGGATCTATTTTTGCAGCTGCTAACCGGAAAGAGACCATTCGTGTATTCTCAAGAAATGCAAGACATGCTGAAAATGTAAGTATATTTTTACTTATAAATTTTGTATTATATTTGATTCTTTCTAGAATATTGGGAATACATTACAGATGAAACCTTTATTGTACTTTTATATTGCATTCTTAAAGTTTCCTTTAAATACGTTTTGCACTAACATCATTACATTTATTATATCATTGTTCTTTTAAAATACACTATCATTATATGTGCAAACTCTTTATTACACACTTGCTTTCCAATTTGAACACAAGTAGGTAGTTATACCTCAAAAGCAAAGGATCTCCAAATCGGTAAGGAATCAAAAGGACAACCGGAATAATCGAGAAAAAAAATCCAATTCATTCCGTTCTTTATGATTTAGATAGAAAAAGTGTAACGAAATAATTCAATTTTGTTTTATTTTGAGTGGAGAAAACAAAGTCAAGTGAAACAATAAACCAGAAACACTTGTCGTTCATTAAAGATAATAAAGGTAATAAAGGTCTAAAAACTTGCTGTATTATCTTTTCAGAGTAACCTTGCAGTTTCTCAGATTTTACGTACTTCAAAATACTTGGCGGCCATCACGGCGGGTTTCTTTGTTGCCGTTACACCTTGGACAATCTGTACATTGACAATCGCATTGACCCAGATAAAGCTAAATGAGGACATAGACTTTGCAGTGACGTGGATTGCCATTAGTAACAGCTTTTGGAACGTGGTTATTTATAGCGTTATGAACCGGAAGTTCAGGTATATTGCAAGGACATTTGTCGTTCCTACACGGAAACATCGACAAGTATGGACTTTAAGTCATCGTTGTCAATGTATGTGTTTGGTATAGATACTGCAGGCTTGCTATTAAGTATTAAAAATATTGAAAACTTTACAACTACGTTAGAAACTTGTTTATGCACTAAAAGCTTTTAGAACAAATGACTAAATTAATTAAACGGTGAAGTTTTCAAAATCTGCGTCACTCCAGTACAACCTGAGCAAGGTTTTCTATCCTTACTTTATTTTAATTATTTAGTTATGTTTCCAGTTTCAAGTTGTTTTTTTTTTCAACTTGACCCATATGGGCATCAATTTTGTAAACAGCAAATTTGACAAACAAATGAGCATTTACAACAAAATAATACAAATGTGTAAATACAACTTGTAGACGAACTAATTTGCATGATAAATTCAAAAATAAGACTAGAAATACTTATGAATGACTTATAGAGATGAGAGAGACTAATAAGAGATAAAGTACTAGTAACATAATGCAACCGCACCATGAAAATTCCTGACCAAAATCACAAATGAAGTGACGAAAAAAAACACGGAAGGATTCGGATCCTTTCATTTCCGAACATCAGATGATTTTTAATTTAAAGTTAACCAACCCCGGATTTGAACCTTGATTGCAAGTTTCCTCCTGGTTTAACTGAAACAATGAGATCACACTTTTTTCATGCACATACATGTATAAGCAAATAATGAAGTGTAGTTTGTAATGCATGCTATGAGTTAAATTAACATTCTGTTTTTTGGTTGGGTATTTTTTCCCCTTTTTTACATATCTGTAAGCGCTCCAATGCATACTTCGTTTTAATTTTCTACATTTTATAAAAGTTTCGTTCATTTCTGACAAGCAGCTATTTTCTTTAACAACACGTCAAAGATGCCGACAATTCTTACAGCCTCGTTTTGTCTCGCGAGACCAAATATCAGACAGTCACATGATTGCCAGAGACATACAGAGTTGTCGAACATTGATCATATATCAGGATGCCGCAGTACTGTATCAGTGTCTCAAAATGTTCAAATAAATTTCTATACACATGATTTTGCAGCCGATTCACAGCCAAGTGATGCTTAAGTAACAGAAGACACAGGTGACTTTTAAGGATTGCTATGAAAATTTTGAAACACTTAATTTGGTATTATCATGTTCACTGTCGAGGATATGAAAACAGTCCTTTTTACAAAATGATGTCATGGATATAAGAAGCCAATTATACTGTGCTCCTCTTAATTCACGGTACTTAACACTTTGAAACCAGGAAGAATACAACAAATGAAACTTATGGTACAAAAATTACCATAAGCTATAACATTTAGGTATGTTCTGCTGTATGACAAAGCAAACAACAATATATTCAGTGAAAGTCAATTTTAATGGACCAAACGTAGACCATATGTCGGTCATTTTGAAAAATGTGTGTCATCATTTAAATCGCGGTAATGGTGTTACATTTCAGTTGGGTTTCTTTTTTTTTCTTTTTTTCAGTTAAAATTTCTCATGTTATTTTGCGCGATTTTAAATATTAAAACTACCCTCACTTTGAATGGCAAAATTAATTTTTTCAACAAACAAGAACATTTAGAAAATGATGATTGTTTCAGACGTAAGCACAAATTTAATGGACTATTGATGCTTTTTGCAGAAATTTGTAAAATGTTGTTCTGTTTCACGTAAAAATCTAGAGATTTAAAATATTTTGCACAAAAACTTTGTTGTTAAGGTGTATGAATAAAATATGTCAATTCAGATCATTTTTTAACACTGGTCACATGATATTTATAGAGGGTGTTCGTTGCCAAAATTTCAGACATGTAAAGTGTTCGTTTTGAAAACTACTTTTGAAAATGCAAACGTGCATGTCTAGTTTTTTATTATATTCGTGCACAGCAAATAATATGCCTCTTAATCCAATCTTTTAATTGAAGGCACCCGCTTTTAAATAACAAGTTTACATGTAGATCTTAACAACTGACTTAACATGAAAAAACAGCAATAAATTTACAAGTTTGTATCTTCCATTGCATATAATACATAAACATGTTTGCACGCTTACCATGCTTATAGATATCTAACCGTATCTGAGATATATAAATGAAATGTAAAACTCGAGTACAGAAAATAGAGTTTAAGAAAACGTGTTTCCAGTTGTAGAACTGCAACAGTACGTTTACACAGTAACATGTTTAAAATAACAAAAGTAGATTTACAAAGTTAAACGATTTTAAGTCATGCATGACGCCCCGGCCCTCTTTGAGTATTTAGAAACTTCTGTTGCGGGAATGTACGGACAGGTATAAAACCCGGCGCCTGTCTCCTATTTCTCAATAAAGTTAATTAAGGAAAACACGGCGTCCCTTCTAACTTTTTTTTTTGTTTTATATAAAAAATAAATAACGTTGGTATCAAATGAAAGATCCATAAGCTTTCTATGAATGCTTCAGAAATAAAAATGAATTAAATAGAAGTATTAGAATTTTTGTTTCAAAATTTATCTTTTTTCCTCTGAAAATCACACTCTCAAATTCGGTAAGAAAAACACGGCGTCCCATCCAAATTTTTCTTTTTAATTTCGTAATCAATTTTGATAGTTTTGGATTGAAATAAAACTGTGCTTCATAAGTTTTATAGTCTATAATTATTTAATGCCTAAAAATAAAAATGAATTAAGGAGAAGTATTAAAATTTTCGTTTTAAAGTTTATCAGGTTACTTTCTGAAAACCACACTCTGAAATTAAGTAAGAAAAACACGGCGCCCCCTACTTACTTTTTTATTTATTGATCAATTTTAATAATTTTGGTGTCAAATGAAAGAATCCTTCATGACCTTTCTAGTGATGCCTTAAAAATAAAAAAAAATAATTACGTAGAAGTATCAAAATATTTTGTTTCAAACTTATCGTTGTCTTTTAATTCTCTCTCTCTTAAAACCACACTCATATATTCGGCAAGAAAATCACGGCGCTCCCTTTCGATTCTTTATAAATTAATCAATTTTCAAAATAGAAAATGAATATAGAATGAAAATTAAGACCATAAGCTTCAAGTATATTAAAAAAGTATTTATTTATACTGAAAATACCTTATTAAAGATTGCACATATGTGCTACGGATAAGTACTTTCTTGATTTCAAAAGGAAATCTCGGTGGCCGCTTTAAAATCCTATTTTTTTCAAATACTCTCATAATTTTTGTTTACATGAAATTTGTGCCAATACATTTTATACAAATATTGAATGGTTTTTAGATTATGGATAAAATTACTCGCTTGAAGTTGGTCATTTCCCCCTAAAAATTTCCAAATCGCCGATGTTTCTCATGAAAACACGAGGTTAAATAATAAGTTAGTGCATAAGTTATCTTAATTATTTTGTATTAAATAAATTTTCAAGTGATGAAGCTAGTGATAAAACTTTTGTAACAAATGCAACAAAAATATGTTAGGAAGAATGCGGCGTGTCTTCCTTCAGTTTTATTTAGAAATATAGGAGAGACGCCGGGTTTTATACCTGTCCGCAAAAGTTCGTAAATACTCAAAGAGGGGCGGGGCGTCATGCATGACTTAAAATCGTTGTAATCAACTTTTGTCATTTTAAACATGTTACTGTGTAAACGTACTCTTGTAGTTCTACAACTGGAAACACTTTTTCTTAAACTCTATTTTCAGTGTTCGAGTTTTGCATTTCAGTTGTATATCTCAGGTACAGATAGATATCAGATATATAAGTGCAAACTTGCATATGTATTGTATGCAATGGAAGATACAAACTTGTAAATTTGTTGTTGTTTTCCATGTTAGGTAAGTTGTTACAATCTATATGTAAATTGTTATATAAAGGCGGGAACCTTCAATTAAAATATTTGATTAAGACACATATTATGTGCTATGCACGGGTACAATGAAAATGGCAGGCATACAAGTTCGCATTTTCAAAAGTATTTTTTAAAAGGAACACACTTTACATGTCTGGAATTTTGGCAACGAATGCCCTCCATAGATATTATGCCATTACCGTGAAATAAATGATGCCGCGGAATAAGTGATTTTGAGTATATATAAAATGTAGGATTAAATATTGATGAATATGAGTATAACATATTAATAATTTAATTAAATTTGTAAATAAAAATAAAACACCATATCATGTTTTCAAATATTTCATTTTATGACTGATAGGAATCTAAGATACCAAAATCCGTAAAAAGTTATCCATTTATTGTGGCTCATCATATTTTCAATTGAAAAATGTTGCAGGCTCGGTTTGATTGAGAATGCGTAAAGGCCTCAACAAATGGTAGGATTAATACAACACTTGCATTCAGACCATAATATTAATAATCAGATCCCATACAAAACATTTCTCCCAATTGGATCCCTTGCATACTCAGGTACGTATATTAACGTTAATATACGTACCTGGCATACTTTACACAGTATTATTACTGGAATAAGTATAAATGTTGTAATTTTTGATATCTACAAAAGAAAAAGGTAAATCAAACGTTTCAGCCATGGAAGGGGCATTTAGGACATAACCATGTCCTGAAATGAATGGAATAAATAAGCACCATAAAGTTCTGGAATTTAATTCATTACACACATTATCAGGGGATATTTTGGAAATATGTCGTCTGTCATCATCGGAGGTCTATACAACAAGAATTACAAATTAGAACGTGTCCTATCTTGTAAATCTAGTATTAAGTTTTCAGAATCATATGAAGATTTGGTTGTACATCTCAGTTTTAACAGTTTTAATTTGTGTTGTACTTTTAACATAATATACCGTTCATACCCTCTTTAAGGCTCTGAGCAGTCAATTTCAGTTTCTTTAATGTGAAATATTACACGAATACATTTTGTTCACATATTTTGCATTGCATTAGACTGTATACTGGTTTGCTAAACCTTTTTGCTCCGCATTCCGCACTGCAATGCAACATTTATTAAGAACAAATTTTTATACACTTTATACAAAACTATTTCTTTTACGAAAACAAATTTGAAAATACACTATGCACACATGAAGACTTGTTAGCTGTAAACTTATTGCACAACCTTATTACTATAGTTACAATACATTTTCTACGTTTTACCTTCTTACAACTGTTTCGGGTG